AATGCTATAGATTATAAAAACAGAGTTCAGATTTTGATTGCTAAAATAGAAAAGAGAAAAAAAAAAAAAAAACAATTCGTGTTGTACTGGAAAAAGCCATCTAAGTTTAAAAGAAATACTGATTGCGCCTATTGTGATTGGTGATTATACAGATAAATACAAGTTCTTGCATGTGCTGTGGACATCTGGGAGGTTATGCGGCAAAATTAATTTTGTTACCTATGAAAAAGCCGTTTTTGTTAAGTATGTAAGTTCAGTAAAACAATGGCCTGCCACATGGCACCCTGGGACAAAAAAAAGCAATACGGCATCCAAATGAAGCCTGCCCTCTGATCCAGAATGTCAGAACCATGTTTTCCTTTTGTCCTACCCCAATTAACCAGAGTTAAGGAGGTTTCCCAGTATTGTCAGTTGTTCTCAGTAGCCATTAAGGCACACCAGAAAATCCACCAATTTGCCCAAAATAGCAAAGGTGAGACAATTGGCGAATAAGTCTCCCTCAGAGTTTTCTGAAAAGATTGCAAAAGGCCTATCACATTTATACACCGGTAGCATCTAGAAATGCAAGGGCCCTTAATAGGCCATTTATCAAGAATGGTGCTTATTGACTTCTGGGGTCAAAAGATTAAAAATGCTCCCCAAATTTTAAACTTGTTGGCTGTCATCTGGATGTCTAGGAGAGTGGCTATTATCCCCTGAAGAGCCCATTGGGCAGGAGATGGTCTTGTTATACAAAAAATAATTTGGCACATGCCACCGCCCAAAAGGCAACTACAAAACCAGTGGGGATTGAGACAGCCCTGACATTACTGCTGATCCCACCTACTTTGTCAGAGCCTATTTGCACTTGAAAAGACTTGTGTCTGGCAGCTCAACTCCAGAGTGATCCCTGGGGGCCAATATTAAAGCTAGCCCAGTCTGTGAGCCTCAGATGCCCTCAGTGCCAATTGGTAAACCCAAAACAACTGCAACAAATAGAAACCGCTCACTATGTGGGACTATGCCTAAAAAACATTGAGACATAGACTTTACGAAAAGGGAAAAGCCTGGACTTCAAGAAAATAAGTACTTATTAATAATGATAGATATTTTTTACTAGATGGGTTAAAGCGTTGCCTACTAAGTCTGAGTCAGCCCTGATAGCAGTTTCCCCGATTTGGCTTCCCTTTATCCATGGGGTCCAACAATGGCCAAGCTTCTATAGCCCAGATAAGTCAAACACCAACCTAAGCTTTGCAGATCAATTGGAAACTCTATTGTGCTTAGTGATTACTGGCCTCAAAGTTCAGGACAAGTAAAAAAGATGAATCAGACCTTAAAGACAATAATTACTAATGGCCTTAAAAACTGGCGAGAACTGGGTGAGTCTCCTTCCCTTTGCTCTTTGCGTGCATGTTGTACCCCTTATGTTGCAGGTATTTCCCCTTTCAGGGCTTTATATGGAAGACCTCTTCCTCTTATCCTTAAGGTTTCTAAAATAACTTGGCTGATTTAGCTAATCAAGATCTTACTAAGCCCCCCGCCCAGATTTTTCAGCCAGTTCTGACTTCCATCCACTGGTGATTTCACTGCTGCCCACTGCAAGGGCAAACACCTTGCTGTAGAGCCTAGACACTGGCCCTTATCAAGAGGCGTCACAGTGAATCTCTTGAGCTGCAAGGGACTATCAAACTAGCGAAAAAGCCTGCCTGGATTCATCATTCCCAGTTCAAGCAGGTCCTGGCTTCCAGAGGCGATCAACCTACAGATAAGTGGACTGTCGTTCCCTCTATGGACTCTTTAAAGCTTAAGATTGCCAAATGTAACTGGTAATCTTGTGTTCTCCCTTATAAAAACCCAAGGAGGCCTCTGTCTGACTTTAAAAATATATGTTACTTGTATGACAGAACAGAGTAAATTTAAATTTCTTTCTCCTTTTGGTTAACAGCTTTAATAATGACAGCTGCAAGACCTTTGTTAGTCCTCCTATTGGGCCTTATATTGTAAACAAGTTGATAAACTATATCAAAGATCTTAAAAGCTTATGATTTTAAAGATGCACACAAGGTTATAAACAGATACCTATGAGTCAATGATTTGACTCACAGACCAAAATCAGTGGGGAATGTTGTACACTAGCAAAAAGAGCTTCATTATATTTGTATTATACCAAAATACCTGTAATGTGGCCTACTGTTCTATGTGCATGTTTCTTTCCCTCTGGGTGACCTAACTGACATGTTAATCAATGCTGTCTTCTGTAAAGAATTGTAAAACCTAACCTAATTGATATGCTAACCATTGTTGCCCTCTACAAATAACAGGTGTGGTTCCCTAATAAGCTAACAGGGGTTCTTAATTACTGCTAGATTGCTCTATCCTCTCCTAAGGAAGAAAAAGGCCTTCCTCATTAACAGTTTTCCTGATCCACACCCAGAACCCCTTACTTTGTAAATTGTGATAGGTACTTAAATGTGGCAAGTATAGAGGAGCAATGCACAGCTTTTGCAATCTCCAACTGCAATGTGTCACTGAGACCAGGACAAAATAAATCAGTGCTGCTTTTTAAAATATGTTTTTGCCTCATTTTTTGAACTTGAGTTTGAGGGCTCCTTTGTAGATTACAAGAGGTCTAGCCACTCAGACATGGGGGACACCCAGGAGACCAGGCAGCTTCTGCTCGTGGCTTGGTCCATGGCACTGTGGACGATACAGGTTAGGATGCATTGGAGGCATCTGAGTAAACAGGTCCCCACTGAGTGGGTACTTAGTTGTGGAGGTGGAAGAATGAGCAGACCAGACTGCAGAAAGAGATGTGGGGTCCCTAGTGGCAATTCAGTGGTATCATTCAGAGGAATGAGAGAAGTCACCCATGGGGAATGTTTAGAGCCAGGAGGGAGGGCCCCTTATGATATCAACTCAGGTGGAGTTTACCAATCCAGCAGTCATAGACCTCAGGCCTCAGGCTGCCTGGTCAACCATCTGCAAGCAACCTGCTCAGACTGCCACCCCTCCCCACTAACCCCCTCCTGTTCACTCCTTTGAGCAAGTCATAATCATGTTCTTTGCATACTGTGACCTGGAAAATTTTGGAAGTACTGCTAATGGGTATGAAGGTAAAGGGAACTTAGAGACACAGACTGAACGAGGTGGACTCAGAGGTGGCAGGAGAACACAGAGAGCAGCCCATCCCAGAGTCTCAGGGAGAAATGGTTTCAGAAAAAGAAGTCATCAGCAGCAGTGAGAACATGAGGGAGGTGCAGTGTGAAGGGACCCCAAATATGTCCCTTGGGTTTGGAGACAAGGTATGCATAGTTGCCTTTAGTGAGAGCAGTCTCAGTGCAATCAGGGGTGGGAATTGTCCTGTGAGATTCACACATATAAACTGGAGGTGTCAGAGGATAGCAGGTGCTCATCCCTTCAGCTCGGGATGCTAAGGGGAGGGAAAAGGCCAGTTAGAAGTTTCAGGAAGTTCGGGAGTGAGGGCCTATTTTAGTGGCTGGGAAAGGTATTTAATTTCTATATTCTAAGGAAAATCCAGTAAAGGTCATATGGGTAGTTGTGGCGTGGTGAGAAGTAGATTGAGGAATAGGGAGTGCTGGGGCCTGAGAGTGCCTAGGGTCTGTGGCAGTACCATGCAGTTCTCTGCAGAGGAGAGAGGCTATGGGAATACAGATAGACCCTGCCCAAGAGCAGGGTGGGCAGTCTAGATGTGTCTAGCCTCATGACCTCTATGTCTTTTCTGAGTTGAGAAGGTGGTTAAGATGACTGCAGAGGGAACTCTGAGAAGTTGGTAATCTGAGTCCTATCCCCATGCTGTGAAATAGGAAGTTGGGGCACAGATAGCACAGGGTCAGCTATAGCTGAGCACATGCGAATTCACAGGTTGGGGTGAGGGGAAGAACACCATGTACTTCTATTTCCTCTTCTCCCCGGAGGAAAGAGAACGCAGTGTCCAGGCTTGTTGTCACATAGTTCCTAGAGTAGAGAGGAGGATGAGCCAGTTTCACTGGGCATGAATTGCTTATACTTCAGGCTTCAGGACAGCACAAACCCTCAGCAAACACAGACATCTTTGGACTGAGCTGACACTGGTCCTGAGGGACCTTCCCTCATGTGACTCAGCCCTCAGGCTCTGCAGAGAGATAGATAGATAAAGAGAGAGAGAGAGAGAGAGAGAGAGAGAGAGAGACAGAAACAGAGACAGAGACTGAGAGACAGACATACAGAGAGGGAGGGAGTTAGAGAGGGGGAGGAAAGAGAAAAAACAGATGGGGAGCGAGAGAGAGACAGAGAGGGAGGGAGACAAGAAGAGAGAGACAAAACACAAATAGGGGAGGGAGGGGGAGAGAGAGAGTAAGAGAGAGACAGAGACAGAGACAGAGATAGAGACAGAGAAAGGCATGTGTGTGTTTGCACTGTGTGTGTGTGTGTGTGTACATCCAGTCACATCCAGAACAGCCCCCAAGCATCTTTACGTGGTATAACCAATCTTCTAGAAACAAAGAACTCAGCTGGCCTCTGCTGCCTCCTTCCCCTCTTGCTCTGCCCAGCAACAGCAGAAAGAAGGCTTGTGGAGAAGAGCAAGGCCCTGCAATCTCCCAGCCCTGGGCAGCAATGAGGTAGGCCCCAGGCTCACTGTGTTGAGGGAGGTTAAAACAATACTTACCATTCCTGGAGCCTAGGCCAGATGTCCCTGGCGAATCTCAACACTGTGCAAGACCAGTTCTCTCACAGGCAGGAACTCACAAATTATGGAGACCCTGATCCTTGGAGCCCTGGGCCACAAGCCAGTCTCTTTTGCTTCACAGCTGTGTTCAAGGCCTAGGATGAAGGTCTGAACAGCAGAGACATACTTCTTTTGGAGACAGACACTGAATAAACAGTCACACAGAAGACTATTTAACTGTAAGCAGTGAGAAGTCTTAGGTAGGAAAGGGCAGAGTTATGCAGGAGAATAAGAGAGGTCCGATTTGGATTGACTCTTACAGCTCTTCTTGATCTCCTTTCTTTTTGTCCAGATTTATGGCAATTATTTTATTCATTGCTTTGCCCCCAGAGGCCTCTAAATGTGGTGAAGAATGTGGTGCTTGTTATTGATGTGAGCAGCTCCAAGTTTAGTACCAAAATGAAGCAGGTAACAAGGACCCTGGGGATCACTTTAGTCTTGGCCTTAGAAGACCAGAAAGCAGAGAATGCTGAACAGTGAGGCCCTAGGACCAGAGATTCTATGCTCTCATCAGCCCATCAGCCCATCAGTCTTGGATCTTCTGTCTGAGCCTGATCCTGCCATAGGGCCGTGGTACCTCATACAACAGAAACCACAGAAATCTAGAACCACGGAGCCCTAGGAACATTGCAACACTGGTCTATATTTCCTAAAACTGTCAACTCCCTGAGTTGTAAAATTCCAGGGCTCTGTGAAAGGGTTTTGCCCTAGATAGGACACTACAGCAGAGAGAGGCAGGACTAAGGGACATTTACATTGAAGTCACTTTCCCGCCCCTTGGCAATTTACCTGTGGAATGAAATGAATTCCAATAGGCTGCTTGTGCATCAGCAATGTTCCCTTTAGGCACCACCCCAGACCCAAGCTATATGTATGCCCCCCACACCATGTGTCGGGCAGAGAAAGCCAGATCCCCGGTGGTCATGAAGTCATGAAGTTTCTCTCTGCATCCTAGAATACAGGTCCTTTTTACTTTATGTTCTCTCTTCTAACTGCACTGAAAATCCTATCACTCTGTAGGTCCTCATGTCTTGGAATCCTTGAACTGGAGCACCCTGCCATCATATACTCATGATCCAATACAAACCTTACATAACACAGGCTCTGAAATTTCATAAGATGACGGGTTTTCTAGGCTTTGGTAGTTTGATCTTTTAAAGTTTAAATATAATAGGGTACTAGCACTATAGGCTTAGAAACCATAGAGTTCTGGGGCTATCAATTTGGATCTTGTAGCTCTTCTACCAGTTACCCTTGAGTCAGAATATTGGAGCCAGACTTTGGTGTTAGTACTTCAGTTGACAATAGTCTGGAAGGAGTATTGCAAACCATAATAATCTAGGGCTTTTTATTTTCCAGTTACTTTTCAAATTTTTCCCTTTGTTTTAAATTTTATAAAAACAATAAAAATAATACAGAATTTAAAACAAGATGATAGGAAATTAACAGTGCTTATTATATTGCATATTGCTATCTTCAAAATATTTGCTCAGATTACCAGATATAGGCATGCAAAATTGATCAAACAACATAAATACTAACTGTTCCTTTCACTGAACTAATACAATTAGTAGGATAATGATCTTAATTATCATATTATATATAAATATGTGTGTGTGTTTACCCTACCTTTTTTCTTTAATCTCACATCCTTATTTTTCTTTCATTTTGAGCAATTTATTTCCCTTTCACAATATTTATTATACCTTTTTGATCATATTTAGTTTTCAGCTTCCTACACAGGGAAACAATATGCAAGTCTGGTTTATTTCACTTTTGAATATGATCTCTAGTTGTATCCATTTACCTACAGAAGCCTCGAGTTTATCTTGGTTTATAACTGAGTAGTGTAAAAGTACCACATCATTTTTATTCATTCATTGGCTGAAGGGCTTTTGAGTTGTTTCTAAGATTCAGCTATGACAAATTGTGTTGTAATAAACATGGGTATGCATATGTCGATGTGAGATGATGTTTTGAATTCTTCTGGAAAAATACCCAGAAGGGGAATTGCTACGTCAAATGGGACCTCTATTCGTAGTTTTCTGAAAAACCTCCACACTGATTTCCAGTGTTTTCACCAGTCTATACTCCCACCAGCAAAGGAGAAGGGTTCCTTTTCCCCCACAATCCCACCAGCACTTGTCATTGTATGATTTTTGGATAGTAGACCTTCTTTCTGATTTGAGATGGAATCTCAGTGTTGTTTTTAATTTGTTTTTCTCAAATGACCAGTAATGTTAACATTTTTTTTCATGTATTTGTCTGCCACTTGTATTTCTTTATCTAGATGTGTGCATTCATCTTAGATGCCCAGTTTTGGATTGGGTCTATGAATTTTTATGATCTAGTTAGAAGTCCTTTGTCTGAGGGAAAATTGGCTATTTTTTTCCCAATTCATGCATTTTCCTTTTACTCTGTTGGTGATTTCTTTTTAATAAGATGAGATCACAGTTGTTGATTGTTTGAAGTATTTCCCAAGCAGTAAGATTCAAGTGTCTTGGGATAGTAGAGGCTGCATGCATAGAGCTTTTAACCTCAGAGCTCTTGAGACTGCAATCTAACTGAGTGGTGTTTTACCAGAGGTCATCAACATGTGGGAAGGGAACTATCCCAAGCCAACTCCACAACCTTCAGTAGAGCTTTGGCCTCCCCAACTCAAAACCTTTCCAGCTTTCCTGTCTGTTTCTGAAGGGTGAGGGACAGATCTCAGTACCATTTGTGAAGTTTGTGTCCCAGTTGAAAGGATGATACCTAGCTACAGGATTATGGAATCCTTCCTCTTACCACACACAGTAATACCACATCAACTGTGGCTCCCACATAACACAGGAAGGTTGTTGCTGAAAGAACTGTAAGCCTTAGCCCTTCTTTTTTTTAAAAAGTCCTTATGGGAGCTCATAGGCAAAAATGGAGACCCATGTATAGACTTTAGATGAAGCTATAGCCTGTGGGCCTTAAAACTACTGCAAACAACAACCATAGCCTAAGTTCTAGCATCGTAAGAACAACCTGCACTGTGGTGTGCACTTGTAACTCTAGCTGCCAGGGAAGTTGAGGCAGGAGCATCATAAATTTGAGCCCATCCTGAGCAATTTAGCAAGACCTTTTTTCAATTAAAAATGAAATGAGAAGAGCTTCTGAGATAGCTCACATCTTCCTGAGTTCAGTCTCCAGTACAGGTGGGAAAAGTGTTTGCTTCACTTCCCATTCCTTGATACATTATGGATGCTTTCTCCATAAAATTGCATGGCATGCTAAGAAAGAATAACACTCACAATCTGAAGAGATAAATGTAGCATTTAAAACAGACCCTGATATATGACAGACATTAAAATTATCAGAGGAGGAATTTAAAATAAGCATAATTGGGAACAGATATTTAGCAGGGGTTCAGTGCTGTAGTGCCTGCTTGGCAAGTGTGAGGTCCTGGGTTCAGTTCCTAGTAACCACCCCTCCCCAGTTGAAATAAAATAAGCATAATCAGTATCCCACGTACTCCAATGAAATAAGTGGACAACATGCAAGAACACATGTGTGATGTAAGCAGAGATCTGGAATTCCTAATAAAATCAAAGGAAATGCTAGAAATGCAAAACACAGTAACAGCAGTGAAGAATGAGTGAAGAAATGTGGCTTATCGGGAGAATGGGCATGGCTGATGAATCAGTGAACTTGAACATATGTCAACAGAAACTTGTCACACTGAAAAATAGAAAGAAAAATGAATAGAAGACAGCATTCCTTTTTACATCACATTTTCTAATGTGAAGGCATTACAACGATATAGCACATATTGAATTGGAATCATACAGAAGAAAGTAACAGAAGAAATATCTGAAATAACAATAGATACAAATTTTCCAAGTCAAGCCACGGAGACCATACCACAGGTCCAGGAAGCGTGAGGAACAACAGGCACGATAAATATTCAAAATCTACACCTAGGTGTCACATATTCAAACAACAGAAAAATCAAAGACAAAGAGAAAATCTTGAAAAACAAAGCACTATAGGAAAAACTCCTTACCTACTGAGGAACAAGGATATAAATTAACCAGATTTCTCTTCAGAAACCATGGAAAGAAGAAGAATGCAGGGCAATATTTCCAGTGTCAAAGCAAAGAAACCACCCTAGCCTAGAACTGTGTATACATCAAAATTATCCTTCCAGTGTAAAAGAAAAAAAGACTTTCTCAGAGAATCAAAAATTGCGAGAATTGTCAACAGTAGACTGTTTTGCAAGTAATGTTAAAAGCTTTTCAGCAAAGAGAAAAATGGCATATATTAGAAATTTGACTGTACATAAAGGGAGGAGAAGTGTTAGAGAAGGAAAAGGAGAAGGTAAAACAAAAAATATTTTCTTCAAAATAATAGCAACAACGTATTCAGTGAGCACAGTTTAAGAAAGTGAAATTAATGACAGCAATGTGATACGGGATGAGACAGAAAAATTTGGAACACTCTGCTTCAAGATACTTGTACTAGATATAAAGCTATATAGTATTATTTGAAAGTAAACTTGAATTAGTTGCAAAGGTATATCAGGAATTTCAGGGCACCAGTAAAATTTTATTTTTAAGTGTATCAAATATGCTAAGAAATGAGAGAAAAATGAGATCATGCAGAATGTACAATTAAAACTGAAAAAGGTGGAAAATGAGTGGAAGACACACACACAAATAAAGAATAAGGGAAACAAATAGAAATCAATCAACTATATCAGTCATCACTAGATTTATGAATGGTTTAAATACACCTATGAAATGGCCAAGATCATCATTGTGAATGATCAAAAAAAATTCACTGCATGTTAATTTAGGAGAAATCCACTTTGTTTTCTGTCTCTCTCCATCTCTGCCTCCTTTCTTTCCTTCTTTTTTCTTTCTTTTCTCTCTCTCTCTCTCCCTCTCTTTCTTTCTTTCATTTTTCTTTCTTTCTTTCTTTCTTTCTTTCTTTCTTTCTTTCTTTCTTTCTTTCTTTCTTTCTTTCTCTTCTGAAACAGAGTGTCACAAAGCCTCTACCTTGCCCAAATTGGGCTCATAGTCTCCATCCTTTTTCTTCATCCTTCCGGAGTGCTAGGATTACAGGCCTGCTGATTATCACCATACCTGGCTAAAACTCACTTTAAATATAAAGATACAAGTAAGACTAAAAATAAAGCACTAGAGAAACACGGACAATGGAAACACAAATCAAAAGATATCTGGGGTAACTATGTTAATTTATGACAACTAAGACTTCAGAGCAAGGAAATTGTCAGGGAAATAAGTGCATAATATTTTGATAGAGTTCAGTTCTCCCAAAAGATATATCAGTGCTTCATGTGTGTGCACCTAATAACAGTACCAAAATGCATGAAGTACGATCCATTAGAACAGGGAGTAGAGACAGATGAATTCACTACTGTAGTTGGAGACTTCATCACCCCTCTATCAGTAATTGACAGATTGCAATGGCAGCAATCAGTGATGAAGAAATGCCACCATCAATGAAGATAAGAATACGTTAATGCAAATGTTACCTGTTTGAGTTACTTTTCTCACTGCTGAGACAAAATAGCTGACACCTAAAGTTAGAGGAGGAAAACTTTTAATTTGCTCACAGTCTGTAGAAGTTTCAGTCCATAATTGGCTGGCTCCAAGGCAGGGTGGCTTGGCACAGGGCCATCACAGACAAAAGCAGTTCATGGCAGGCAGTCTGTAGCCAAAAATCAAGGGAGAGAGAGACAAGTCTCTTTCTGTCTTGTAAATAGAATACAGTCTACTGGGATTAGGGTAGTGCCAATCCAACCAGTGAACTAATCCAAAAATCACCCACCCTTAGTCCCAGCACCCTTGATGCCAGCATCACACTACCAGTCGATCACATACTCCAGATTCAGCCACCTCCCAAAAAACCCTATGACTGCATGAGGCTTTACTGTCACATCCAGGCACAAATCGTAACACTCCAACCCTAGCCCTCCATCCTTTTATTCATCTCTTTATTCATGAAGGCATTTCATTCATCTCCAAGAGCTGCCAAAGTCCTAACAGTTTCAGTGTTGCTGAAAAGCCTAAGTTGAAAGTCTCTGAGATTTAAGGCAAACTTAGCTGTGAGGCCCTGAACAAATGGAAAAGAAAGTCAAACACTTCTGACATTTGATGGCACAAGACAGACATCTCCATCTCAAAAGTTGCAAAGAGAAAGATACAAAGGAATGGGACTAACACAAGTACAAAATCCAACAGGGCAAAGATTAAGTCCTGTAGCAGCTCTATGTGAAGCACCCGAGGCAATCGGTGGCAACATGTGAACTCCAAAGGGCTTGGTGGCTCTGCCCCTGTGGCACCTCCAGTGGTTGCAGCTCCTATACCTCATCTCTTGGGCCCAATCTGCTGTCTCCTTGCAGTTTTCCTCAGATGATCCTCATCCCTGGCTTCTCCAAACCCTTCTGGGGCCTCCACTGAACCTTTGGCTTCACATTCACAGCTTCACACCCTGCCCTCTTGGGAACACTACCTGGCCTCCCAGGCCTTCTGAAGTCTGGGTGGAAGCCTTCCTGATGCCACAACTCTTCCATTCTGCATGGACCTAAAATCAGTACCCCATGGATGATGCCAAAGTCTGCTGCCAGAAAGAGCAGTAACCAGGCTTTCCTCTCCCTTGGCTGTAAGGGTCAAGTGCCTGGATCACTGAAAGGTATGAATCCATTTCCAAGGAACAAATTCTCTAGGCTGCTGCCATTATGGAATATGGTGCTCTGGAGCGTTCTTCTCACAGCAAAGTCTTTCACTTTTGCAGGTTTGAGGCTGCAGAGGGTGGGGTCCTGCTGCTGGTTGTGATGTCTGCAGTCCATCTTTTCTATTTTCCTATTGCTTCTCAGCCATCAAGATCTCCTCTTCTCTATCTTTGCAGTCCATGAATTTACTGGAGATGCCTTTCTGGTCAAACTCACAATGTTTCAAATCATTCTGCTGGGCTCGTTGTTCTTGATTCTTAACCTAAACCTGGCTAAAACCCCCAACAGTAGGCATGCCACCACTTCAACACTAGATTGCCTTGAAACTTCTTCTGCCAGATTATTTAGCCCACACCCTTAATTTCAGTCTCAGGCAAACTCTCTGGACACAAGCAAAATGCAGACAAACTTTCTGTCAAGCCATAACACATTGTCCGGATTCCAACAACCGATGCATCCCTTCTTCTCATCAGAACCTTCCTGAGCATGGCCTTTATCGGCCTTCTGGTTTTCTGAACTCTGACCACAGTCTCCCATACAGAACAGCCTAAGGCATTCAAGATCTACTTTTTCAGCCAGCATCTTTCCAATCTCTTCAAATCTTTCCAATCTCTTCCCACAAGCCATACCCAAAGGCTCCTGAACCATCACAACGACCAAATCTTTCCAATCTTTCCAATCTCTTCCCACAAGCCATACCCAAAGGCTCCTGAACCATCACAACGACCTCACTTCTCCGGTGCCAAATTCTGTCTTAGCTACTTTTCTCTCATTGCTGAGACAAAATACTGATGCCAAGTTTAAGGGAGGAAAGGTTCATTTTGCTTACAGTTCATAGAAGTTTCAGTCCATAATTAGCTGGCTCCAAGGCAGGGTGGCTCATGGCAGAAAGGCAACAAACAGTTCATGGTGATGGAAGACAGAAAATGCAAGGAGAGAAAAAGGGGGAAACAAGCCTCTTTCTGTCTGTTTTGTCTTACACAGACAGCTGGGATTAGGGATTGGCTGCCAATACAATCAGTGGACTGATCCAGCAATCACTCACCGTTCATCTCAGTACCCTTAGTCCTAGCATTGAACCATGAACCAATCACAAACTCTAGATTCAGTTACCTCCAAAAGAGCCCCATCTAAAAGTACATGAGGCTTTTGGGGGACATCTAGACACAAATCATAACATTATCTAGGTGGCACAACAAGAGCAAATTTATGGAGGTGAAATAGAATCTGTGTTATCAGGAGTCTAGCAAGAAGACTAGCCTGAAAGAAACAGAGGATGAGAGTGAAAAGCAGGGTAGAGCAGAACCAAAGTGTGTGAAGTCACTGAGAGACATATATAGAGACCTGTAATCATGAGGATCTCAAACTTTAGGATTCTGAAATCACTGAATCCTGGGTTATGGGGTCAGGAATCATAACAGAAATGGACACTAGACCTCTGAAAATGCAGAACCCAAACCCGTGAGGCCACTGGTATCTAGTAGAACATTTTTGATGATAGTACTATTAGTATTAGTAGTATTAGTGTTATTTCAGTATGAGGGGTTGAATTCAGGGCTTTGCACATGCTAATAAGCACTCTACCACTGAGCCAGACCCTAGCTCTTTATTTATTTATTTCATTTTATTTTGAGTCAGGGTCTTACTAAGTTTCTCACATTGGCCTTAGGCTCACTGTCATCCAGTCTCGGCCTCCCAAATAGCTTGGATTACAGGTACATACTATCACACTCGCCTGAAGATGTTTTAAAATTGTGTGCTGCTTAAAAGGTAGTGACTGGCCACAGGTGGTTATTGAACACTTGAAATATGGCTATTTAAAATGAAGAACTAAATTTTAAAACTATTTTGCACTTCAATTTATATGGTTACTTATGGCTAGCAACTGCAATATTGGCCAGTGCAGTTCTAGATCTAACCCTTGGATCATAAAGCCCACCAGAGTAGTTTGACCTGATAACCCTTGACCCACAGAATGCCTAAATTAGAAGGTGTTGGAATCTTACAGCATATAAAATCCAGTACCTCAGTGTACAAAGAGACTTTCGCACTCATAGACTTTAAATCTTGTCTTATCATCCATATCCTGCAGACCGAAAAAGCCATCAATGTGATCCTCATTGATCTGCAAACCAATAACTACTTCCACATCATCTACTTTTCTGATGCAATTTGTGTCTGGAAATCTGAAAGCTTGATCCAGGCCACTATGCAGAATATCCACAGTGCCAGGGGACACACTGAAGCTGATGGTTAAGCCTACCTACTCAAACATGCAGGCTTTGGAAACATGAGAAGTTCCTGAAACCATCCCTTTATTCCCCCATCTTCTTCATCTCTCACAGTGCTTGAAATATCACTATTGTATTTTACTCACTTATGTGCCTTCATGTCTTGTGTTCCCCTCCCATCTTCCTTTCCTAGTGGAAACAACTGATTCCAGGTTAAGTGGAAGTGTTAAGCCTACCTACTCAAACATGCAGGCTGTGGAAACATGAGAAGTTCCTGAAACCATCCCTTTATTCCCCCATCTTCTTTATCTCTCACAGTGCTTGAAATATCACTATTGTATTTTACACACTTATGTGCCTTCATGTCTTGTGTTCCCCTCCCATCTTTCTTTCCTAGCGGAAACAACTGATTCCAGGTTGAAAGGGCACATTCTCTTTGGTCCTGAGTTTTCCCCTCCTTAAAGTAAACACTGGAGAGAATTTGCTAAGATTTCAAAAACCAACTACCTAGATATTTATTTCCATGCATTGAACAAACTGCTGCCCTGATTCCAGGTTTTGATCAATCTTCTCTCAATTACCAAAGTCTCACCTGCCTACCACCTGTCATCTCAGCCTTTTCTTTTCTTATAGCATGAAGAAGGTGGGGACTGTATCCTAGCATAGCTGCCAGTATGAATAGTGAATGAAACATTCCCCCAGAGCATAAGCAAAGAAGAGTCTGAGCTGTTGTGACGAGCCAAGGACATGTGGGTCTCCTCTCCGATCTTAGGTAGGCTGGGTGGGGGTACAGGAGTTGGGAGGGATAAGCCGCAGAAACAGGGTGAGAAAAGCTGAGATGTGACTGAAACAGTGAGGTTGGTGAGCTACCCATTGTATGGTCAGAAATGACTAGAAAAGATCGTCTCACAGTCTGTTCTCCAATTAGGGACCGGCATCAATGCAGCCCTGCTGGAAGCTGTGTCAGTATTGGACCATAACAACCATGAGTCTGGGAAGGGCCCCAGTGTGGGGAAGGTTCCACTTGCCATCTTCATGACTGATGGGGAGCCTAGAGCCAGCATGACAACAGCCAGTGTGAGTGATCCTTCACAAAATCCAATGGGTGCAGGGTTACAAGGCACCCTTTTATATCTTGGCCTTTGGAGGTGATGCTGAATTCCCCCACTGCTGCATCACCTGTCCCTGAAGAACCGGGGTGATGGTGGGGGCAGCCTGATGCATATAAGAGGATGCTGACATGGCCCTCCAGCTAGAGCACTACTATGAAGAGTTCGCCATTCATCTACTAGCAGATGTGTGTCTGGACTACCTGGGCGGCTCTGTTGGAACCTCCGGTTGGGCCTTTTTTCCCCAATTGCTTTGGTGGGTCAGAGCTGATGGTGTCTGGCCAGGTGGAGCCAGGGGAGCAGGAGCTGGACTGCCTGCCAACCTGTGACCCTGATAGTCTGCATCTTGTGGACCACCAGAGTGAAGGAGCCACAAACAGCAGGCAGAAAGTCTTTGGTTTCCCAGGGGAGTCTGCCCTCAATCTGATGCACTTTATTTGCCACTTCTCGGCCCATGTCATCATTGGAGAGCTGTGGGAGGCATGCTTCCATGGCAGTGAAACCACCACTTGCCTCTCAAAGTCCTCAACATATCCCTTGAATACAACTTTGTCACATCTCTGACTTCAGTGATTGTGGTGTAGTCCAAGGAAGCCAGTGAGGAGCCTGGGAGACAGTCATCCAACACATCTGCGCCAGGCACAATCACATCCTCCTCCAGCCGTGGCCAAGGTCTAAGAACAGGCACAGCTCAGGCATTCTTGATGCTCAAGGTCTCCCGCAAATCAAGGCCTGTGAGAGCAACCTCAGGTACAAGTGCCTCTACAAATAAGATGCTCAATTCCAAGGAGCTGAGGCCACTGAGTCAGGACTATAGTTCTCTATCAACCTTACTATACGTAAAGCTCCAAGCTCCAGCACAGTAATTTTCTGGTACCTTGACCCAGCCAACTCCCATGATGAAACTTGTTGCCCTTATGCCCTGAAACTCTAGCGTTCTGTTGCCTCCGAGGCCCCGCACTCCATCACACCAAGATCATTATATCATCCTAGAATTCTAATACACAAGTCCCACCTCCAACTCAGCTCAGTGCTGGAACCATGAAACATTTTATTCCACAGCATCCCGAACCTGATGCTCCATCATAACCTAAATCAGACACTCCATCACACCCCCAACCTCGGCTACTCACATCATGGTTGCCAGAAAAGCCTGCCATCGTCATGATCTGTAATCTCCATGCTTCAGATCCTCAAATACTCACCACTCACCAGATCTAAGATTCCTGCTCTCCAGACCCAAAACAACTTGCCACACTCTACACTTGTGATCCTCTTGCCCAGAAGCCCTAAAGTCCCATCACCTCTTAAACCCAGTGCATCACCTCACCAAAATTCCACAAGATTATCATTTTCCATGGTTGGAATCCCACCATTCCCCATATGCCCAAAACTGTGCTATTCCTCAGATTCTCAGATTCCCCAGAGTCTCCAGTGGCAAAGGTCCCAGCAGTACCATGACCACCTCTGTCCCTGGAGAACCCCACATCTCTCCCTTTACCACAAGAATGCCCTCTCTGCTGCATACTGGGAAACCCTGGCACAGGCAAGGCCTGCCACTAGGGTGCCAGAGCACATCTTTCCCAAGAGTCCCATCACTGGGCCTACTCAATGGCTCCAGACCTACGCCAGAAGGCAGACTCCAAAACCTGCCAAACTTGCTGCCTTCTAGCACTCTTCCTGAAGCCACCAGTCTGCTCCTTCTCCCAGGGTAAGTAGAGCCACTTTCTGAGTCAATGGTGCATTGCAAGCTTGTGGAGTCCTTGAGTCCACTGACATTCTATATCTTCCTCTTGACAAAGATGGTGAGTCCCATGATGGGATGTCAAGCTATGGTGGGAAGATATGAATGGAGAGCAGCAGGAGCTGCTATTCTACAAGGCATTTCAGGGTGTAGTGATAGTCGAGACACTTACTTGCTTGATGGCTTTGGAATTTTCAGACAAGTTATTTAACACCACCATGCCCCAAGACATAGGCACAGATTCTGGAGCCTTGAGAGATAAGACTTGGAAGACTGAATAGAAACACACTGAACAAGTTAAAGCTTTGACATTGTTGGAAAGGTGAGTTGCTAATGATTCCCAAACAAGAGAGGGACATAAGAGTATAAATTGGAGCACTACTGGGAAAGGTACATCTGATTCGTCTTTCTATGCCCTGTGAAGAGCTTTGCATCATAAGAAGGGTATAAAAATTTGGGAAGATGATAATATACTTAAATTTCCGAACGACTGTGAAGTAATAACTATCTTGTTTTTGCAGCACTGGGAATCAAACCCAGAGATTCTTATATGCTAGGCAAGTGCTCTACCCCTCAGTTACATTCCCAGAACCAAGTAACAACAGTTTTGGGGGCTTCCTATGTGCAGGTACTTGTATACATAATGTGCCTGTAGTCTCTCATTTAATCCCTACAAGAAACTGTCAATACACACATTTTACAAATGGGAGACAGAAGCACAGTCAGAGGTGTGAAGCATTAAAATCTGGTTCCAAAATAAATGTATTTACTGCTCTACTATTCTGCCTTTTTAAAAAAATTTTATTTAAAGAAAGACTAAACAAAATAAAATAGATAGAAATAATACATACATTGAAAGAAAGAAATAAACAGTAAGAAATCACTCGTTGATGCTTACATATTGTCATTTTTCAAATAGTTGTTCAAGATACAAGCATGGACCATGTAAAGTGCGAATTCAAACAGTGAGACCGCAAACAGTTCTGTTCAACTGTCCAACAAAATCTTAGTAGCATGGTTGTCAATACTATACACTTAAACATACATGCAGTTATCCATAGCTTCATTTATGTTTAGATTAAACAAACTAAAGCAGATTAAAATCATTCTAAAAAAGAATATTAGTATTGCTGGATTTCACATCAGGACACTCTGTGATCAGCACTGGGAACTTCAGAGTCTTTTTTAAAATTTTATTTAAAGAAAGAGTAAACAAAACACAAAATGGGTAGAAATAATACATAGTTTCAAAGAAAAAATAATCAGTAAGAAATCACTAGTTGATGATTCCAGATTGTCTTCTTACAAATAGTTATTCAAGATTCTAAAGTGGGGCATATAAAGTGTGGATTCAAACCGTAAGATTGCAAACAGTTCTGTTCAACTATCCAACAAAAACTTAGAAATATGGTTATCAATCCTATACACTTAAACATACAAGCAGTTATCCATATCTTCAATTATGTTGAGATTGAATAAACTCAAGCAGGCTAATATCACTCTGAACAAAGAATAATACTATTTCTGGGTTTCACGTTATGACACTCCAGGATCAGCACTGGATACTTTAGTGTCTCTTTTTCTTCAAAGTAGCTGTTCATTTCATCATGTGTCATAAAATCAGTTCTCATAAACTGTTTATAGATTCTACACATGCATGAGTCTTAACATATATTTTCATCCTTTCTATATTAGAGGGAGAAACAAAACAAAGCAAGGAAAATCAAAACATATTCCTATAAACACATGAAATGAAATAAACATATAAGACCAGTGTACAAAGACTTCTACCATGGTTCCTGTGTTGTCTCTTGTTATCTCTGATAGAATTGGCTATATCATCAGACATAGTATAATTGAATATATCAGTACATAACAGTATTAATAAAAACACAACTTTGTGTATAGTATATAACTTCAAAAAACCAGCAGTTATCAAACTAGCATGTGTATCGTAGAGTCTTGTCATCTTCAATGTAGTTGACTATACTCTCAGACTAGATACTATCAAGCTTATCAGTTTTGAATAAAATCTTCTCTGCCTCATTTCGGTTAAGCACATTTTTTTGCTATCAGTTGTCTGCTTATCTTCTTCATTATGTTTTCTGTTCCATTCATTTAGTCCTCTTTGCCACTGTTCCTGGAATCCTAGTACTTTTCTCTCTCCCTAGAATTCCCTGCAGTATTCTCTGTAGAGTTGTGTTGGTGGTTGCGAATTTCCCAAGTTCCTCTTTATCTTGGAAGCATCTTGTTTCTCCATTAATTTCTAGCGACAATTATTCAGGGCAAATCAATGTGGGCTAGACTTTATTTTCTTTCAGGGCTTGGAATACTTCACTCCAGGCTCTCCTCGATTTGATGGTTTGTGCCGAGAAGTCTGCCATAATTCTGAAGGGCTTTCCCTTGTAAGTAATCTGTTTTCTGTCCCTGACAGCTTTTAATATTCTGTTCTTATATTGGACTTCTGGGATCTTGATTATTATATGCCTGGGTATAGTTTGTTTTGGTTGTAAATGGCTGGAGTTCTGTATGCCTCATACACTTGAATATCATTTCCTTTTCCTGTGTTTGGGAAGTTTTCCTTAATTATTTCTGTGTATAGCCTGTGTAGGTCCACTGTTTGTAGCCCTACTTCTTTATTCACATTCTTTATTCTTTTTCTTCCAGTTTTTAAAAAAATTTTATTTAAGGAGAAAAGAGAAAAAAAAAACAGTGAAAGGGTACAAGTAATACAGATTTACAGAAAAAAATGAACAGTAAGAAATCACTAGTTAATGGATCACATATTGCCATCTTAGAAATAATTGTTCAAGTCACAAAATTAAAGCTTGTAGAGTGGACATTCCAACAATGATACTGCAAACAGTTCTGTTCAATGATCCCATAAAACTCTGTGATATCATTTTCTATCTTATACACTTAAATATACATGCAGTTATATAGTTTAGAGCACTTTCTTTTCCTCTCTTTTGTACAATGACTATTACACATTTTGGGTTTCATTGCTCCCACGGTTCTTATTGCTTTTTTGGAAGAGAGTAAAACCAAATGTGACATAACAGAACAGAATCGGTCAAGTCAAAAGGGTGGACATAATACATAATGTAAAAACATAATAAAAGGTGATCAACAGTGGTTACCATAATGCCTCCCGCTATCTCTAATAGAATTGCCTATATCATTAGTTATAATAAAATTGAACAAAACAGTAAAGAACAAAAGTGACAAAACCAAACCATTGGAGACATTGTAGGTCTTCAAAAGTAGATAAAAGTCAACGAGAATGGGCGTTATAATGAATCTCATTATCTTCACAGCTGATGCCTAAACTTTTGAACCTGATACTATCCAGCAAAACAGAATAGGGGAACATCAGTCAAAAACAAGATGGTGAGAGTAATACAGGGCTTCAAATTGAGATAATAGAAAGTCAAAGTGGGTTACTATAATATATCCTGCTATTTTTTCCCTTTAATTAAATGGATAAAAATAAAAAAGTAAATAATGGAGTGGAGATTGGGATGAAAGAGGGCATAACAGTGAAACAGTGCAGATCAAAACATAACCATTTAAGCAGAATAGTGTTTCACCACCAGATATTTCCGACCCAAAAGTAGTTACCATATTGACTCTTTCCTTGAAGTCCTTGAGTACAACTTGGTATACTGTAGCATTAAGTATATCAAAACAATGTAAAACCATTTAAGAGAATGACAGCATTACAGAGTATTTAGAATCGACTAACAGAAAATGAACAATGGTTTCTGTATAATCTCCTTGTCTTTAAAAGGTTTTTGCTTATACTATGGTACATAATAAAATCCAATAAGATACAACCTATTTAGACCATTGGAGACAGAAGAACAAAAGCTAGATGAGACTTCAAAACAAGATGATACTAAATCAGTATTACCTATTAAGATGTCATTTTTTTCCAAAATAGCTGTTCCTATCATCCAATCTTCTCTGTCTCATTTCTGTTGAGCTCTTTTTCTATCAGTAGCTGTCAGTTTGTCTTCTTCATTTTGTTCTCTGCTCCATTCGTTGTGGCATCCCCGCCACTATTTCTGGGTTCTTTGTATTTTTCTTTTTTTTTAGAATATCCTGCAATACTTTCTGTAGAGTTGAATTGGTGGTTGCAAATTCCCCCAGTTCCTCTTTATCCTGGAAGCACCTTGTTTTTCCATCAATTTCCAGGGATAGTTGTGCAGGATATCTCAATCTTGGCTGGAGATTATTATCTTTCAAAGCTTGAATTATTTCCCCCCACGCTCTTCGTGATTTGATGGTTTGTGCAGAGAAATCTGCTGTAATTCTGATGGGTGTTCCCTTGTAAGTGGTCTGTTTCTTGTTTCTGACAGCTTTTAATATTCTGTTCTTGTATTGAATTTCTGGAATTTTTATTATTATATGCCTGGATGTTGCCCTGTTTGGGTTGTAGGTAGCTGGGGTCCTGTATGCCTCATACATCTGAGTATCTTTACCTTTTGCTAAATTAGGAAAATTCTCCTGGATTATTTCTGTGAGTAGCTTTTGCAGTTCATTTGTTTGTGTCCCTACTTCTTCTTTTATGTTCTTAATCCTTAAGTTATGGCTCCTCTTATCATCTTCTTGTCTTTGTATTATTGCTGTTTGTTTCTTTGTTATTTTTAAGAAGTTTTTCATTTCATTCTCCCATATTACAAGTCTGCCTTCCAGTTCAGATAGTCTGTCCTTAGTTTCTTTCAAGCTGTTATGCCAGTCTTTGATAGACTTCTTAGTTTCTTGATAGTCCCTTTGAACCTGCTTCACGTATTCTATGCTTTCTCTGTTTTCTCCATCAAACAATTCTCCCCTCTTTTTCTGTTCTTCCATTCCACCATCTGTTTTTTCCTGGGTGGTGCTTAGCATTTCTCTAACTATTCTGCATACTTCTAGCTTCAGGTTGTTGATAACTTCATTCCTGAATTGATCTATGAGGCTCTCTATATGGTGCTTTATGTCTATTGGTGCGGTGTCCGCTATTGCCTGTTTCTCAGAATTGGGGGCCGAGGAGCCTTTCTTGTTGCTGCCTTTTCCCAT